TTCGAACCTAAATCTATGTGAATGTTCACCTATTGCTCATTTAACGGGTTTCTCATAATAATGAGTCGGTCATAATAATTTAAGAAGGCCTTACGGAATTTCAACAGCTTTCACATTATTGAATAAATTATTTTAGCGCGAAGTACAATATTTATTTACTGTATTTAAGAATAAAATTGTTCAGAGATAGATGAAATATAATAGTTGGTCTGAGTCATGGGGAATTCGTTGCGTCTAGCTCAAGACAGTAAGAGATGGAAATTCATGGAAGGGTCTAATTTTGCCTATTTGGCCCGCGTACGTCCGTTACACAGAAAAATTATGGTTATGGATGTATAATAAACTAGCGGCCCGCTCCGGCTTCGCTCGGGTCTTTAACAAAAATTTCATCGATATTTGACGTTGTTTTATTTTTTTAAATAAAAGAACACTTATTACGGCATAACTATAATAGCTAGACATATGCTGTCGTGACACTTTTTGTAAATAACAATGTGTTCTACAAAGTCGTAGTACATTATTTTATTCTACCATCAATAGTTTTCACATTATTGGAGTTCTAGTACGGATCCCTAATTATTTTCAAAAAATATTGTAGCCTATGTCACACGGGAATAGTGTAGCTTCCAAACTGAAAGAATTTTTCAAATCGGTTCAGTAGTTTCGGAGCCTATACAATACAAACAAGCAAACAAATCTTTCCTCTTTATAAGATTTGTATAGATATATATATGTATATTATAAACATCTTACGTTTTCTGGTACCTGTAACACAAGTTCTTTACGAACCTAGCACGGGACCAGTTAATGTGGCGTGATTGTTAGTAAATATTTATTTGTTTTCCTAACACATAATTTTCCTAACACTTGGAACATCGCCCTCCTGTCTTCTAGTATAAATTTTTGTAAGGCTTTGAATGAGCTGAAGTCAGTACTAGGTTCAAAGATCTGTTTTGAGGCACTTATCTCCAGGCTCCCTCCTTCTTAAAATAGATTGGGTTAGGTTATAGTACCTAGACGGCATTCACTTGCGATGTGTTTAGATTTTGGAAACCTCTTAGCAGCAGATAAGCAGCACTCGTTCATGCGTGTATACAATAAAAATAAAATCCCTAAAATTTTACATTTAAAACAATGTGTGCTAAAACATTATATAACGTAAAAAAAAACTAAGTAATTATTATTAGCTTCCATTTTTTATCATTTATTTCCATGTAATTAATACTTAACAACATTTTACAGGTAAAATTGTTTTTTTTTTGTCACTTAGTCATTACTAATAATTTTTTTACATAGTCATTAATTACTTAGTGAAGAAACTTCATATTATTCCAATTAATCAATTGATTTATTTTGATACTTTGCAAGAATCATTATCAGACGGTTTATTTTTCATACTTTTAGATTAGTATGCAAATATTAATTTTCAACGTTTGTATTGTAATTAAAGAAACTCTTAAGTACTTAATGTATTCGATTCTAAAACAGACAATTGCCTTTATATTGAGATAATTTTATACATATAGAATAAAATTGTGATATAAATGTCAAATCACCGATATTTGGTAGGACCTCTTGTGAGTCCGCGCGGGTGGGTACCACCGCCCTGCCTATTTCTGCCGTGAAGCAGTAATGCGTTTCGGCTTGAAGGGTGGGGTAGCCGTAGTAACTATACTGAGACCTTAGAACTTATATCTCAAGGTGGGTGGCGCATTTACGTTGTGGATGTTTATGGGCTCCAGTAACCACTTAACACCAGGGGGGCTGCGAGATCGTCCACCTACCTAAGCAATAAAAATTTAAAAAAAATTGGATTTTTATTTGTTGTATGTTCGATTTGTTGTTTGAGCATCTGAGCTGTTTTAAAACTTATTTTACTTAAACTTTACAGTATTCTTTACGGACTACCAAAGTGTTATTCGTCGACATTTGAGTATTATTTAAAGCGATGGCAATACTATTGAGATATGACCATAAACTTCCACCACATGGCCTCACATGGCACAATATCACTAAAATTAAACAAAAGGTGCCAGGCCAGGTAAAGCAGTTAAAGTTATAGGAATTATGAATTCAGTTTATTACTTTATGGTTACACTATATTAACTCTTCGTAATAAGGAAAAGCAGTATGACCATTATTTCTGTCTGATTCAATTACATTCGAATAAAATTTTAATGTTAACAACAACAGTTATTGACAGTAGAAATATTATTTAGTTATCTATATATTAATACGTGAAGCAAGAACTTTGTATCCCTTTTTACGAAAATTGCGCGGACGGAGTATGAAATTTTCCACACTTATAGAGAATATAGAGAAGAAGTGCACAATGCTAATATTTTTTTTAAATAGTGCATAAAATATACTTTAAATCAATAAAGAAAACATTACACACACTACATACCATGTATTTGACGCACACACGCATGCATACTATTTATTGTCAAACTTTTGTTCTTGGCGTCTGTTGTCAAATTGAGAATAGATTAAATATTGTTTGCCTTTGTTAATATTTTTTATAGTTAAGTGTAGTCTTGGCGAAATTTGTGATTATAGAAGTATAAAACACAATGATAATATTGTACAAACTTACAATTCCAATTAATTATAGTCGAATTTCGACTACTGCGGGACCACTAGTCTATGGTAAATTGTCATGTAATTTACTTACATTTAGTGATTTGAAACCAGTGTATCAGGCTGATATATGAAGAAACAGTAAGATAATTATTGCAGTATATTTTTTTTTTATTGCTTGGATGGGTGGACGAGCACATTACCCCCTTGGTGTTAAGTGGTTATCGGAGCCCATGAACATCTACAAGGTAAATGGCGCCACTCACCTTGAGACGTGAGTTCAAATTCTCAGTTTTATAGTACAACGGTTGCCCCGGCCTTCAAACCGAAAAGCATTACTGCATCACGGCACAAATGGGCAGGGTGGCACCTACCCGTGCGGGCTCACGACATAAGTACACTACTAAGCAATTCTATGTTAACTTTAAGTAAGCCGTTGTAACTATACTGAGACCTTAGTTATATCTCAAGGTGGGTGGCACATTTACGTGGTAGATGTCTATGGGCTCCAGTAATCACTTAACACCAGGTGGGCTGTGAGCTCGTCCACCCATCTAAGCAATAAAAAAAAAGTAAGTTTTTGTCTGCCACTTCAAATTTATGAGGCGATTATGCCAAGAATTAAATCGCATTTGTAATTATCAATATTAATTGGGACTATTTAGGGTTTTGAGACGTATTGACAAACTGAATGACTTTATCAAATTTTCAAAATCTCTCCGAGGTCGAAGACCCTTTACTTTAAAATTAAAACTTGTTTCCCACCTCCTATCTGAGTCACATTCCTCATGTCTGAGGGTCGTGACCATCTCCTCCCATTATCCTTCTTTGGATGATGTTTCGCCATCTTCCTCTGTTCTCGGCGTTTGTTTGCTACTGTATAAATCGAGGTTTCCATAAAAGAATGAACCCGAAATATACAGCATGAATTTTTTTTTATACTTTTTACTACTGCACCAGCCCGGAACTGATCTTAGACCCGAGTGTGGTCCGAAACTAATAATCCTCTCGTTTAGTCACAGATGCCGTAGGTAATGGATTTCGTGCGGTCTTGCCGACTTTTGTCACGTTCTCGTGTGGACCTTTAATTTGATCTAATAAATACGATGTCTATAGAAGCACGTGTTGATTTTTTTCAGTCCAATTGTGCTTCAAAATACACAGTACCTTATTTAAAATATAATTTACCAGGTATTTCGGTCGTCTCATATCTTCGATTTTGGTCAAAGTCGAGAATATATAAAGTATATGAAGTATATAAAGTGTTATCATTTTTTTCTTTCCTACTTATGCTGATAGCCTTGACAGGCTATTTTAGCTTCACACTAACGCGTAGATGAGCTCACGGGGCTCAAACCGGAAGTGCTGCTAACACTGGCCCTAGCAAGAGTAGTGCTTCGCAGAATCTACCGCCAGATCGGAAACGCGACCCACTGAGAAGATCCGGCGAGAAACTCAGTGGGCTGTGTCTATGGGTTAATTTACTCGTCGAGCCCTTCGTCGCAAGCGACGGGTTCTGCGAAGACGGGGACCGGTGCTTGAGATGTGTTATCATGACTGCTCATTGTTAGCAGTGTTTTAATGTTAGCTTTTGAATTGCTTCCGCGTTTGTTTACGTGAGCCCAATAGACATACGATTTTCTATATTAGTACATCCTTCATGACTATCAGCTATATTTTCAATATTTAATTTTGATACGAGCATTTGTCCGCAATTTTCTATACGTAAGACGTTTTCGTCATCTCAGTAGGATAAAATGTAATACCTATCCATCTTCTATGACAAAGTCGTTTCAGTAGTTTTAGTATCATTACTGGTACAAACAAACTGAAAATGATTTTGTCTTTCATCATCATCATCAGCCTGCGGCAGTCCACTGCTGGACATAGGCCTCCCCCAAAGCTCGCCACTGAAACCGATCTTCGTTTCTACGCATCCAGTTACTGCCAGCTGCCTTGCGCAGGTCGTCGCTCCATCTAGCAGGAGGGCGTCCTACACTACGTTTGCCGGTTCGCGGTCTCCACTCCAGAACACGTCTACCCCAACGGTTATTGTCTTGTATTGGATTTAGTCTTTAACGTCTGAATACCTTGTGAGTGAATGTCCTTCAAACTAGGCTTGTGGAGAGTATTAAGCGGTAGGCAGCGGCTTGGCTCTGCCCCTGGCATTGCTGACGTCCATGAGCGACGGTAACCACTCACCATCAGGTGGTCCGTTTGCTCTTCTGCCTATACGTCATTGAAAAAAATATCTATCTATCATGGGTAGATACCACCATCCTGCCTATTTATACTTCAGAACTGTAAGGCATGCTGCTTTAAAGGGTTAGATCATGGGTTTTTTATTGCTTGGAATGATGAACAAGCTCACAGCCCACCTTGTACTAAGTACAATAAAAATCATTAAAATCTTGTAATACCTGTTCTTCATCTTTCCATTCATCCTCCTTGACTGCCATCTCGTCTCTCAGAGCCTCCCAATCATTGGTCAGTTTCTGCAAGTCACCTGTCAGAGCTTCATTTAGCTGATGAGACTCCTCCAGTTGGTCTCGGAGTAAATTATTCTGGGCTACCAACTTCTCACACCTAGAAACAATTGAAATACTTACACACTGAATTTTACTGATATGTTACAAACAAGGATAATAAAAACCAACTGCTTTTTCGTCTCAGTTACCAAATATAGTATCTGTCATCTGGCAAAGCTCTCAGCCCCATCAGATCTATTCAGGTTACTATAAACTGTATCAAATTTGTTAAAGACACAATAGCCCTAACCTTCTATTTTTTTCATGTAACAGAATAAGACACTCGAAGGAATAAAAAATATTTTTATCACAATACTGCTCTAACCAGCAATTTAACACGAACCTCAGAATACTGTTAAGTTTACTAATGACCAGAGCAACGAGGTGGTGATTGGTTTGTCAATATTGAAGAAGTGTTCTAGCAATTCTGGTATGAACTCGTCTGTCCACTCATCTAAGTAATAAAGAGGGATTTACAGAAACTTATAACTTGCATAAAACTCTTCCCACCATATGGGGTCGGTACAGCACACCCTGTTTTTCCATTCTGTACTTGATTTATGTGATAATAAATTTAATTTAGCACTTTAATTAATATCCCTAGTTCTTAATTTATTTCTGACAAACACTAAGCACTAGGTACAAAAGCACAGGTTTTCACTAGTATTTTAGTACTACAGCTACTCCGGAATACGCACTTGCGTTTCTCCTCGTCCAGTCGACGCAGAGCAGTCTCCAAGTCGTTAATGCGTTCATCCCTGCGCGAATCGGTGGAAGGCGGCGACGGTGCGGGAAGAGCGGCCGGCTGCAGCGCCGTGCTGGTGCGATAACCCTCGGTTCGGGGTGTCTCCAGCATGTGACTTTCGAGCTCCGCACATCGTTGTTTGTACTGCAAAACCTAACGCACCAAACGAAATGCGTACATAGAATTTATTGCAAAGTGAAAACTTTTTTTTTACTTTTAAAAACATTTTAGATTTGTTTATTTTGATTTTTTTGTTTGCTTAATTTTGATTCTTCTATTGTGCAAAGGAAATATTACCCATACAGACAAATCTTTTATAATTAAGACCGAAGCTACATGTCATAATAAAAATAATAATAAAATCAACTGAGCTCTCAGTAAATTATGAGAAATTATTGGAAGTTCATTATAAGAACTTACGAAGCCACGTCAACGATATTCTTTCATTTCTCGCTTTCAGAGGCTAAGTGGTGGTTATTAGAAGTTTAAGCCAGATGAAATCTTAAATTAAGAGAATAAACCAATTTGCAATCTAAATCCTGTACACAGTCTACCAGTGATCAGATCTGACATCACCGTCATTTGAAAGAGTTTTTATCTCAATCATCTATCGTATTCAGTACCTATGTGTGCTAAGACCATACAGCTCTATGTTGCCCAATCAGAAATAATATATTAGAATAAAATATGTTAGAAGAAATTACTTTAGCTTGCAGTCTCGATACTAATGCAGCTTGGCCTTGCTGAGCACGACGATACGCGTCGAGACGACGCTTATGATCTGCCGCCTCTCCAGCAAGACGTGCACGAAGCTCTTCATTCTGACGTCTCAAGTCACTACCAACACTGCCCGCTGGAGAATCCATTTCCGGCGGACTTTCAAGATTTTTCTAAAGTAAATCACTTTAGCTTAGAATATACTATATACATACATTTAATACATATGTAGTTATTTCGTCATTATTTGACATTTTGAAATAAAATCATATATACCTCCTTCTTTAAGCGTTGATGGGGAAGAATACTTGGAGTCCGCCTTCCGACGGGAGCGCGAGCACTCCGCATCATCCACATCATCATCTAAACAAAGCAATGAATCATAACCCGTGCTTAATATATTAAATATAGAAACTGTTATATTGTAGGACCATTAAATTTATTTAAATTTAAAATAATACAAAACTGTTTACAATGATACTTTATATTATTATACTCGTAGGTACTACATAAGCAATCTGGATACGGCAGATGTTCCACAGTCAAATGCGATCGTGCAAATACGACAAGAATGTATATAGATTAGACCTTTGGTACATTTTCGTCTTTTTCAATATCTATTGACTTTTTAGAAAATTAATGATATTTTGTTTCGTCATATTCTCCATACTATTAATTGCGTACTAAAAATTCTTGAATTTCGCAGATAAGTGGATGTAAATACAGAAAAAAAAGATGTGTGGTGTCGTGGGACATCGGATAGGAACGAAGTTCCTTATTATAACAATATTAATTTTAAATTCTATTCGAGGTATAAAGAAAATAAAACTGGAGGTTTCGCAACAACCCACGGTCATTCTGTAACATGCGAACTTATTGTGGTACACTTCATTCACGGTTACTTGCATAAGAGTTAGTGTATTGCGCAAGCGAACGCTCTGGGATCGTGGTCAATGAATGATAAAAAATATTATGTATTGTTTGTACGTTATTACAAAGTTAAGTCGTATACTGTGTGCATTACTAATAAAAATCTTACGTTACGGACGTTTTTTCCCGGTTAGTGTACCCCTCCGCATCGTCCCATGAGGAACTTCGTTCCAAAAAATAATATAAATTTTGAAGGACAAAATAAATATGTTGTTGTTTTATCTGCTGATCCGTCCGTCTGTGAAAAGTTGCTATTCAGAAGAACTAACATAAATAATGTCAGGGTTCAATGGTTACGTAAAACGGTATAAAGTCGACATTTTTATGAACGTTATAGAATATATTAAAACATATCTTTTTGAAACGGGTAGGTAAAGGCGAGCTTTTATGAGCAGTAAATTTGTGTTAAGTATAGTCATTTAATGATGAAATAAGCGTTATGTTCCGTGATTGCCTAATAAGGTATCAAGTATCAAGATTATATTGGTTAGATTTTAAGAAGAGACACGGGTACCGAGAAACTTGAGGATTATGAAAAAAAATGTATCGGTCTCCGTAAGATAAACGCACGAAAGAGAAAATAGTGTTTCTGACTGAAATCGCTAATGTGTAGGTATATGTAAAAAAATTTAAATCGAATTTTTTGTATTCCTTCTATTTCTCCTCTAAACTTTTTTTTTATTGCTTAGATGGATGGATGAGCTCACAGCCCACCTGGTGTTAGATGGTTACTGGAGCCCATAGACATCTACATCGTAAATGCGCCAACCACCTTGAGATATAAGTTCTAAGGTCTCAAGTATAGTTACAACGGCTGCCACACCCTTCAAACCGAAACGCATTACTGCTTCACGGCAGAAATGGGCAGGGTGGTGGTACCTACCCGTGCGGACTCAGATCCTACCACCAGTAAACTTCGCTCGATAAAAAAAACTCAATTTCTGTCACTTTTTCATCAGCCCTTCTAATTTAGAATATGAAGTTTATTTTTAAGTGTAGCAAAATACGATTAGTGTCTATGGTATTTGTCACGGTATACTTGTGGGTTTTTTAAATATCGTTCAGCAAAAAAATCTGAACCGATTTAAATTGGGCCTTCCCACGGAGCCCGCCTGATGTTATGTGCTGCTATTTTTTTTACTCATTATTCAAAATGTTAAGCGTCAATTTTTTTTTGGGGGCCAGGGAGTCCCGACCTGCCCCGCCCTCCATCCCCAGTGGAGGGTGGGAGTCCGGCGATTTCCTCCTGTCAAAAAAAAAAAGCGTCAATTTTAAATTCGTGCTTCGAATCTTTTACTTCGATCTATCTATCTATCTCTTAGGTTTATCGCGTTTCCTTTTAGATTTCGCCAATGTCAAGTGTACACAATACTCTGCTTTCTATACCGGGCTTCGTGAAAGAGCAAGGTCACATATAGTCACTAAGAATTAAGTGACTACCTAAGAATGTTTGATGACAGGATCTCTGTTGATTTACCTATAATTTACTTCGATCATAAACGATTTCGATGTTTTTATACATATGATGCATTAGACTTATTTCGTAATGTCAAGTGTCAATGTCAAATTGATGTTTCGATTTTTTTTTAATTTGTTTGCCCAACATTTTCAGGCGAATCGATGTTATTCAAATTCGAATCAATTCGAATTCAAAACGAAAACGGTACTTTTAAGTTTGTCTAGGACAAAGGAAGGCTAATTATCTAATTCACCTCACGTTTGCTAAGTAAACTAAATAATCAATGGACTATTGCAAATAGGAACACCGTGTGAGTGTTTTGTTAAACGGCCACTTTATTGATTTTAAGCAAACAACTCGATACTTCGGAAGCAATGCCTAAAAGGAAAACTTCAATATTGAATGCTGTTTCAATGAGATAATTTTATATTAAAAGCTAGTTTTGCTTTAGACATGTTCACTATGTTTGTGCTAGATAGTATTTTTGCTCACTTAAAGTTTAGATTGGTCCGCTATTTCAAATTTTAATATTAGCACCATGTCACGAGAGTAATCTGTTGTTTTTAGTTGGCTCTTAAAGCTATTTCGTATCTTTTTTTCGTACTAAGCTTGAAAAAAATCACCCTAAATGATTTACAGTAAACAGAATATAAAATTCTCTTTTTTAAGGACACAAGTGTGTACATACAAATATCCTCGAATTTTTACAACTTATCATACTTATCATACAAATATCCTCGGTTTTCCTCCTAAAAAGTTTTTGAAATTTTATCTGTGTCTACTAATTCATCTGTGGTTGTTATAAAATGTATTTTTACTTATAAGAGAGTGATTACAAGAGACAAAAGTGACAAGAGATCGTCGGCAAATAATCTGTGGAGACGTCATTAGTATCAGATTTATAGAAGCGAAATTTGAAATTTATAAAAAATCTCTGAATAAGTAAATGTTAAAAAATCTATTTTTTTATGATTATACGGTCTTCTCTATGAAGTGGATGGTTTCTGTATGAATCATAATGTTGGGTGACAAATAACTTTTATACAAAGGGCACTCAAGAAAAATTCCGTATGTTACGCTGCTCAGCGGAGGTAATTATAAAACTAGCTTAATAGTCGTTAAAATTAATCCTACCTATCGTGATATGGCGAAGCATGCTTCCGACTTGACGACGAACCTTCGTGATATATCACTTACGTGGCCTGCGATGATACAAAGACACCGTAAAAAGAAACTCATTCGAGTACAACTCCAGCACAAAACCGTGCGTAGACAAATGAACAGTTTGAAATTCGAACCAGAACCCCTGTTTTGTTTCATGTGTTGTTTTTGGGATCTCGATATGTATTTTATGATCAATTACTTTCAGGGAGGGACCAAAAATACAATTTGAAATAATTAAAGTTAAAAGTAAGAAGTTTCAAATTTGTGTTGTTACTAACAATTCATCCCAGGGATAAGGAACTACTCCTAAATTCCATCGCTTGGGTTCGCGGTCCGCTTCCAAAATTTGCGGATCGTCCCGTCCCTTATACGCGCGCGTCCCCTAGGCGCAGGGGCCTCGTAGGAGGTTCGGATCCGGTACAAAAAAAGGGGTAAGAAATTACGGAACTAAAGAATTTGACTTTTGTTCGCCCTTACGGTAATATTGAACCCAGCGTTCGTATTTAAAAAATTTGAGCCCTCACGGGACGCCTGGCAGATGTGAAACATCGACATTATTTTGTAAAAGTAATATGCAGAAAAGAACAGATTGTGATAGGAACTAAATATTTCATAATGATAAAATAAAATATTACGAAAAAATAATTTGTTTTCAAGTAAAACACAGGTTATGTGTACTGTAGTAAACAACACTGTATACACTACGGAGTATACACTATAGGTATCCGAGCTCAGTGTAGCGAGAGAGATGGCTTAACGCCGGATCGAGTGGGAGAGAATCGCACAGTCGATTGCGCATGGCTACGCGTCGCCACGGCATGCGTCGCCACGGCATGCGTCGCCACGCCAGAAATCGGTTTTATGTGCGGCTATAGATGTTTCACATCAATAATCTATATTTAAGATGATATTTAATATTTACTCATGTTCCGCAACATCTCGTACCGTAAGCCAAACACGTAAAAAGTCTTACTTGAAAATTCATTTTGTACAAATAGTCGTCGGAACAGAATCAAACATGTAAGTGTCAACTGTACAGTTAGACAGTAAATATAAATAATTCATTGTTGGCCTAAAAATTTACATTTACTACACACAGCTACTTAGTAATCTTTGAATTTTGATAAACGAAATGGATGTTGCCTCGGGGTATAGAAAATATTTTAAGACCTACGCGTGGGTTTCGACGCTGTTTATTTCAGGGCGACTAACAGTTGGAGCTTCAAATCACTATAAAGGTAAACAAAGGTGGATATGTGAAGAATAGCAGAGACTATTTCTTCAAGCGACTTACGGATGTTTTTTTGTTGTTGTATATTGCATAGGTACATTTTTGCGTCCATGGGCGATGGTAACCACTCACCATCAAGTGGGCCGTATGCTCGTCTGCCTACAACGGCCAATTAAAAGTAAAAAAAGGTGGTTGACCCAGTTTAATGAGGTCTAGTGTAAAAGTGCTACAGAAGCCCATAGACATTTTAACGTAAATGCCCATGCCGTGATTCGCATTGAAGCATGAGGTCGAAATCTCAATTGTCATATGTCACTCTTTAAAACTTTAAAATTGTGGTACCTCCCCACGTAACCCTTTTCAATAAGAAAGAAGTCGGAATCTAAATTCTTTTTTTTATTGCTTAGATAGGTGGACGAGCTCACAGCCCACCTGGTGTTAAGTGGTTACTGGAGCCCATAGACATCCACAACGTAAATGCGCCACCTACCTTGAGATACAAGTTCTAAGGTCTCAAGTATAGTTACAACGGCTGCCCCACCCTTCAAACCGAAAC